AAATTAAATAATAATGTCTATAGGAATTAAACCTTTCAGGTAATCTTTACTTAGCAGTGATTAATAAGCTATTCGGCTTATACTAATTGAAAGAACATACTTGTACAGCATATGTCTTCACCGGATAGAATATTCCAATTATTAGTTTCTAATGATATACGAAAGGAATTGTTTGCTCCAATAATATGGTGAGTCAAAAATCATACCTGCTTTCATTTCAAAAGAGCAGCAAAAAGAAAAAAGGAGCAATTGATAAAGATTTTTAAATACAAGTGAAAATAAACATATTAGAACTAAAATAATTGTGCAATATTTTACAATGTATGTTGATGTCTGATAATTCTCTAGAATATAATATTTTGGCCAATTCATAAATATAGTGGTATATTTATTGTTTAAAAGTACTGTACTAATAAATAAGCCATAGCAATTTTTATCAGTTTTAAATTTCAGATATAATATTTTAATCATTTTTATAACAATATATTTAAAACAAAATGTTCTGTGCATATATATATATATATATATATTATATGTATGTATATATAATTGCAAAATGGATTTGGCTTTTGAAATCTCAGTCAATGAGTTCATTTTGTATATTCTATTTATCTATAAACAAAAGATGTGTCTTTTATAATACAGTTATCCTTAATCAAAATAAAGTATATATATAAATGTAAAACTAACTTTAAATCAGAATCATGAGCTTGAGGGGAATACAATGTCTACCAAGATAAATAAATAGAAAAATACTTCAAAAGAATTTAAAAAGGAATATGCTATTTATGAATATATTTCAAGCAGGTTATTACAGCATAAAATTGTATTCATAAAATTCGCATATAAACTTTATATGAAGCCTATTATTTGGAAGTTAATTATGTGTAAATGCATATGATTAATAAACTTTATGACAAAAATATCTGTATATAGACGAATATTGTATAAGATCATCTATACATGAAATTAATCAATTTAAACTTCAAATTTTTTATCTTCCCAGTCTTATAAAATGGATTTAGATTTACCAGTATTTTATTCATAAAATCTCAGCAAATGAGCATGAATTATTCCTTTACTTAACACTGGAAATATAAATCATAAGAGTTGTGATTAAAATCAATGAAGGTCATTTTTAAATACTATGGAAAATATAATTTAACACTGCTGAATGTTATGTATTTAAATGCTTCAAAATTATTTGCCATCACAATTTTAAGTATTATCTCATAATGCTAACTACATAATTCTTGGTCTATTAAGTCATGCCTTTCATGTGGCACAATAGACTTGTCAATCACTGGATTTTATCAGTATATCAAAGTAAAATACTTTATGGAATTTTTGTACTATGTTAATTTTTAAATTCTTTCCATATGTAATTTTTTCCATATGTAATTATTCACTTTTTATACATTGTACAATAGAGAGAGAATGAAATAATCTCCAACTTTATAAGATGGCTTGACGGGAATTCCATTTGTGTCTAACTTATGAGTAGGCCTTATTACATCAGATATGAAACAATCCAGTCTTCTCCATCTTAATATCTTTCTAATAATTTCCACTTCCTCTACCCACCTTGGCAGGAAAGCTCTTGTAACTATTAACAAAGAAGTAAATAAAGTCTTGCAGGTGTGTATGACAACCTTGATCCATTTCTTACTAAAATCTCTCTTAATCACTCTGGCAAAATTATATGCAATGACATATACGTATTTTGAATACTTTTTCCCATCAGCATTTCACACTTTGTTCATATACTTCAGGACATAAATCCTAAATTTCACGATCTCGCTATTATTTTATTCCAGTGACTCAGCAAGACCTTAGTTTTCAGAAAGAAGATGGATGAAAAGACGTTTTCTTTTTATATCTCAGTTCCTGGTAAAGGATAGTCTTTCTTCAGCGATCAAGGAGGATCCCTTAAACACCTTGACCAATTACTTGCATGAATGAGATAATTTTGAGGAATATCACAAACAGAACTTTTTGTGGAATTTAGATAATGATTTTTAGTTCTATTGTCTCTGCCCATTCACAAAATTTATTCATCAGTTCTACATGAGAAGTGGTAGAAGACAAGATCTCCAGAGTAAATTGGGAGCAGGGGGACCATGGAAGGAGGTTAAAGGGGAGGGGAGAGACAGGAGGGGAGCAGAAAAAAAATGTAGAGCTCAATAAAATCAATAAAAAAAATCATTCATCAAAAAAAAAAAACATATGAGAAATCTGTTAATTCAGACTCAGAATGTAAATTTTTGAGTTACAGTCATCTCATCTGCAATAGTCATATCTAACTAATAATTTGACATTCCATGCTTCATGTAGCTGTCATTCTGTAAATAAATCTGTACTACAAAAGTATTCAACTGAAGAAAAAAATGTTCACAAAGAAGCTAACAGTAATCTGGTCTATTAAATCCAGTCTAGTAGATAGGTCTTGTGAGTTTCCTCCCACAGTGTGACTACAGTTGATTCTTTCCCTTTTTCCATTCTGTAATCTTTTTATAGAATTCATGTTGTCTCATCACATGTACTTAGTCACATGAATGCGAAGTATATAATGACTACACATCGTACATACTACTTTTTTTCCTCTTTAAGATGTGTGATACTTATTTATATGACTTTTATGGACCTTAGCGATACAATTCCCTTCCTAGGATTCTCTTGAGGCATACATGTACAAATTCTCTTTTAAATGCACTTATTTTTCTAGTTGCTAAAGGAAACAGTTACTCTGTCAAAGATGTCTTACATGAAATACACATATCTAGAAGTTAATTATTTCAAGTCTCTTTGGAAATTTTCTCCTACGGGAGGCATTTTATTATCCTATTTCAGGCTCCCTCATTAATGTGGTCAAGGTAGCATGTTTGACAGGCACATGTCATCTTTGCGCTCACTCCCTGCTGTCTAATGCAATAATTGCTGCATTAAGTGTGATCAGCAAAGATTCCACTGTTTGCACAGATGAATCCTTGTCAGTACTTGCCAAAAGTACAACTTCAATACAAATCACATTATGAAAAAAAAATAAAACCATGATTTTCTTCACTTTCCATCTCTGATTTTCTATGCGCTGTCAAATTAAAAAGTTTACAAACTAAAAGAAAAAATACTTTTATAATGAGTATGTTACTTTAATTCTTGATCTATGTACTAAGTGTTTGCAAACATATATGTTACTTATTTACTTATTTGTCCTTTTATGTCTAAAATTCTATGAGCACAACAATAAAGAGCATAATATTATTTTATTTTTAAATGTTTTATGGTTGTTAAATTATTAAAAACTTTATCCTATATTTTATATGGGCAACATTTTGATAAATAAAAGTATTATGGGGTACATTGTGATAATGTGATGCATGTATGTAATATTCTCTGATGGAAATTTGCATTTCCATCTTCTTAAATATTTATTACTATTTTTCATTGAGATAATTCAAGCTCCTTTCTTGTAGGTTTTATACATAAAAGGTGTCTATTATTGTCTCTCTACAATGATGATAAAGACAGCAGAACCTCACATAACTGTGCATTTGTACCTATTAAAATTTATATTTATTACTTCATATAAATCTTCCTTGTTGTTTGAAATTAAACAGAATGTTTGACTAAAGATTAGGCATAATTTCACTCGACTATATAACTATTCTGAGGACTCTGGAAGTGAGATATACCTTTGAGTTTTTGGTCAGCCACACTGATTCAGTTTGAGATCATATTTAATTCACATTTAGGAGACATGCATGGAATATAATTGCCACACTGTAACTGTAGAAGATGCTATTGGTATTTCAAATTCATGAAAATCAATCATTTCATTCATTTCAAAGGGCAATATTCAAGCATATATATACCAAGTACACTTGAAAAGAGACAGTCATTTGACCTTTAAAGTCATATGCAAACATAGTATAACTTACTTGATAACTCTTAAGAATATAATGTGGTGAGATGGGAATAAAAAATTATATTAAAGGATACCCATAGTATTTCTGAAGAAGCCTAACTTATACACTTTAAAAACACAAAATCTGTAGTACTGGATAATAAATATCAGCAGCACTTTGCCACATTTTAATTACTTTTAAACTTTATAATCTGCATACTATTGCTTAATTCAAAATTAATTTTATCAAATTTCTTTCAACCTGAAAGGACTCGCATTTAAAAATTGTCGCATTGATGTCACCTTGAAATTATAAGGTAAGTGATATAATCAAAGTGACTTTTTCTCTTTAATTGAAAAATATTATGTCCTATTAAGGATACTGTGCTACAGGTGAAATAAGCCAGGGTTTTATGATATCAAAACAAAGATAATTGAATATCCTTTTGACCTAGCATATGCCCTGAATTTGTTGTCTTCATAGAATGTATTCAAGAAGAATTTTAATAACTAGGTAATTTTTTAAACATATCAATTTGGAATGTATAAGTATCATCAGAGATCTTGATTGGTTTGTATTAAAAATAAATTAAAAGTTTCCTGATACATTTGACTCTCATAGTATCTCCAGCTCTAGTTCTTAGCAAAATTGCATTTATACTGTTTCTGCCTCAAGGATTTTACTTCCTACTCATATGGGTCTATCATGGGTGAGCTTGACGTCAGCTGTAGAGAAACCTAAGTGGACCTGGAAAACAAGCTCCCAGGTGAGTCATCTTTGCTAATGTTTCTTCTCATCTCACCGCTTTTTTTCAGGCGGTTCTTCATCTGTCATTCTCATCTTCAGTTCCCTCCCTCTATCTGCCATCCCCTGTTCACTGGTACTGCTATAGTTGTCAAAGCAAGTTCTTCAGAATACCTAAAAGATCTCATGCTAAGAACTGTGAAATTTCATTATGACACACAACAATAATGCTTAGAATATAGAAATGGCATTTCAGTTTATCAAGTTTAATATTCATTACTAGTGTAGTATACCCCAGGAGTAAAAAGATCAGATAGTACTAATATTCAGAAAGGATATCATCTTGCTTACCTTTAATAATGTTGGGCTTTGGAGGCATGCTGAACTCATATACAGTGGGCTCAGAATACCCCAATCTGTTGGCAGCTGTGATTTGCACTTCGTAGCCCATCGTCCACTGCAGATGTTCCAGAATAATGTGATCTTTATTCCCCTGCACCTTCTTCTCCAGCCACTGGTCTTCCTTGTCTTTCTGTGAAAGGAGAGGAAATAACTTTTGAAACAAAGTGCCATGAAGAGATTGTATGTTAAATTTAAGTTTTTTTGAAATAATGCAATCAATTTTATCTTCTCAGTTTTCTAAAAGTTGATACGTGAAATTGCTAATTTAATGAATTCAGCATTGCTTGAGTATTTTTCTACATAAAAGGTAATATACTAACTGAGGACTTATCATTTTGCAAATTAATCCTGTGGTAATTTAATTCCACCTATTTAGATTTACTCTTTATTTCTTACAGAAAAACTTGGTTAACAATCACTTTTAGACAGATAATAGAAAAGGTGAATCATTGAATAATTGTCAGAGACTATTATTAAAATTTGTTTAAGTGGATAACTATCAAGTGAATCCTCTAAAGTATTTACAGGTGTGTATTTTAAGTGGTATTTTTCGTGAAAAAAACACACAAGGAGATTATAGCAGACAAATTTTCTGTAATATTTTCTAATGATATTCTTTCCATAAACACTGAAATACCAAATATGGGTTGTTGTTTTTTATTGTTTTAGAGAATATTTTTGTATTTCTTTTCTTCTCTCTCTTCCTCTAGTGTTTCTCTCTCTCCAACCCTTCCCCAGTTAATCTCATCTATTACCTCAATCCTTATATAAGCACTATAGCCTCAATCTTACAGTAAATCTCAGTAAACAGCAAACAATATCCTGTTTAAAGTACACCATATCTGACTCTTATCTTATAAGGCATTATCTAAATATTATTTGATTCATTCTGTAAAAATTTTAGAGCAGTTGATATTTTAAAATATATCGAAACTACTACTTTTTTGGGTTAAAAGTAACATTTTAATGTAAAAAACATAAAATTATTCACTTATACATTCTGTTTTACACAATGAATACATTTTATTTATTTATTTATCTATTTATTTATTTATTAAAAATTTTCACCTCCTCCCATCTTCCAATTTCTCTCCCATTCCACAAGACCTGGATGCGGGGGGGCTTGGACTTCCCACAGGGCAGGGCACCCTGACTTCTCTTAGGACTGGAAATCTACTACTCTTAAAGACGAAAATAGTCTCCTAATGCTCTGAATTACATTGTCTAGAACAAGATGATCATTGTGCTTTACTATATTAACCTTGAATATATAAAATTACCTGATATACTAACTTTTTCTATCAGATTCTTCTAAAACTTTAGTATTGTGTCTGCTGTTCACACGCCTGGGTATACATCCTTCTGTGTTCGTCATGCTTACACTGTAGCAAGTTGAATCTAGAAGAGGGCATTAGACCCTATATAATTGCAGTTACAGGAGGTTCTGAGTCACAAAAGAATATGTCTGGTAACTAATCCAGGTCCTCTGCAAGGGTGTTACTAGTCATAGCTGCTATGACAGTTCTCTAGTGCCCTGTATCAGATTTTAATTCTAATTTTTATTTTTGTTTGGGCTGTATAAAGACAAGTTTGTATAAAGCTATTGATATTTGCATGCCCCTGTATCAGTAGCATAACCCCAGTAGTCAGGCTTGTCTATGAAATTATGGTTTGGGGCTACAGATAAATTGTAATTTGTGAATTCACATATGAAATCTTAGATTATGTTATCTGATAGCTATGGAATGTTCTTTCATGTATATACTCAAAACTGTCAGGAAACATAAATTATAAGATTTTTAGACAGTTATATAAAGTTTCTAATTTCCCAATAGGCTATTTAAAAATCAGGCATTTGAAATACTATTCTCTTCTGAATTATAAATAATTTAACTCTTTCATGTAGCAAATTAAATCCCTATGTCATTTTACATTGATATTTTAAGAAATCAAGGAGAGGAGAAGATTAATATTTCTTGAATATAAATCAATTTCATTTTCCATTCAACTTAAGACAAGGAAATATTTTAATCCCCTAATTGTTATTCCTAGGGAATGGGAAGAATTTAAAGTGGGTGTAACTAAATACTCCCCTCGGCATGAGAACCTCAATTATGCATTTGTAGACTGCCTAATTTGCAGAAATAGAGTCCCCAGGGAATGATTTTAGATAACTAGTGGGAAAGTGTCCCTCTAGGTAGCTTAATGATATGATTTGCTGATAGGACTATCATTAATATGCCAATTAAATGGTGAAAGAACTTCATTTTAAAAAATAGTCATGGAGCTTGAGTAAAGCTTTCATCGACCAATTCTTTTCTTTAAAGATAGTCGTAAGACGTTGTGAAAGTAGAGACATCTCTTTAATTGTCAAGCTCATCCTAACACCAGCATTTAGGGGAACACTACCTTTGTTCTACATAGAAGAATATGCTCTCTGTTCATAAAGGAGCTTATTTAGTCCTTCATTCATGACAGGAAGTAACTCATTACCTTTGTAAAGACTTTATAGAAACTGTAGCCAACACAATCTTACATTAAAACAAAATAACTATAAAAGAAATGTCAATAGAGGAAATAATCATATCAATACGCCTTTTGATTGTTCTAACTCCTGCTGTGTATGGTATAAGTTTCATATGGCCTAAAAACAATTCTCATTGTCTATGATTTCGTGATCATATAGTTAGTTTACCTACTGTTTGTATGTTCTTACATGAATAATCAGAATACTTAAAAATTAACTCTTTAACTAGCTATATTGAATGTAAAAATACTTGTCATCAACTCTGATATTTTTCTATTATAGTACCATATTTAAATGAATAACTTGAGTCAATATATTAGTTCATAGTTATATTATTATTATGAAAAAAGCCTATTTTTTATAGCAATACTAAGATAAATAAAATGCATCCTCTTCTCTCAGAGCAAAAAGCATAAGGAAGATAAATATATATATTTATATATATTCTTTGCTTTTAATACTGATAGCTATTTACTGAAAATATTTCAAAATATTCTTGTTGTCTTTAAATATATTTCTTTTTTCCTACACTATTTCCAATTTTCTGTTTAAACAAAAAGGAAGGCTTTACATATAACAGATATCAAGCAAGAATTACAGCTACAGTATTTCTATTTACTTTATCTTTTATCATAACTAAAGAAAATTATAACTAACTCCCCCTTGATACCAAAAAACTTTGGGTTACTGTCCAAGCATCAAAATGTCTCTGTCAATTCTAGAGTTAAGGACGTTGCTTACAATGTACTTCCTGTTTATTTAGGTAATATTATATCCTTCTGGAGTCTCTGATTGAGTAAAAATAAATGGATAGTTACAATTTTCCTTATTTATGAGAAAAGATAAATATATTTCGATACAGATGCTAAAGCCACTAGTAGAAAGTCTTGTTTCCTAGTAATAAAAGCTCATTTTTATGTATTCACAAACTTAAGACTTTAATAAAATTAAATTTGTCACTTATATTTAAACGTTATTATATTATATCTAGATTCCAAATAGTTTAAAAAGGTCAACTGAAACTTTAAAATGTGTGTTCTAAACATTTTTGCTGGTCCCAAATGTACCTTCTATTCAATTGATTTTAAGTAATCAATTTTCTTAAGTCAGGAGAGATTTAACATACTAACACTAAGAAATAGTTATGATCCCTTTGAGAACATCCATTTATAGATAAATTTGTAAAAAAAATAAAAAAAATTATCAAATTATATGCTATGCAATCACATGAACACTAAAAATACATATAAAATCCCATCCTTAAAATAGCTCCTTGCAATTTCTCAACTACTATATAAGATTAGTAGACTTGCCTTTAATCTCCAAATAACTTAACTTGATTTTGTGACATTATTACTACAAATATTAACTTCCATGAGGTGTGCATAGAGACTTTGAATAGTGTTTTTAATACTTTAACTTTAAGTCTTTTCTAAAACATTTTTTCTTCATAATTGAAGAGGAAACAAAGCAATATATTTTATAATATTATAACTTAGAGTAATGTGTGCTTTCTAGCTCATAAGCTACAAGTAATTATTCTCTTCCAGAATATCTGCAATCTTGTCAATAGTCATTGAAATTAAAATTAAATGCATATATGCATTTGCCCACAAGACATGAGCTTGCAAATAAGAAATATGTGGTCTGAGTTATATTGTTCCCTTACAAATCACAGTTGAAAGTTTAGCTCAAAGAAGCAATCTAGTTAATATTTTAGGGATGCTACTATTGATTCTCCACATAGGTGCACAAGATCAAAGACTCAGACAAAAGTCATTGTCCTGAATTGGCTGACAACTTGTATTATAGAAAAAGCAAATCCTTGGAGGACATACTAGCCCCTAATGGGGTCAAATATCCATTAGACTGAAACAACACACTGTAGATAAATCATCTTACAAGAAGTGCAGAGGTCTCCTAAGGGTATGACAGATATTAACAATTTGTCAGACTACCTTGCAAGATAGAAAAGCTCATATCAGGAACTCTAATATTGATAATTTTGCTAGATTTCTTATTGCACTACTTGTAATATAATCACCTAGATTAAACCACCCGTTTATGATTTTATAATTATTGGTATTATTATTTATACATTGAGTTATATGTGATGTGGGATTCTCTTCTGCATGCTGTAAATATGTTTTATTACCATTAGTTAATAAAGAAGCCACTTTGGCCTATGGCAGGGTAGAGTAGAGCTAGGCAGGTAAACTAAACTGAATGCAGGGAGAAAGAAAGCAGAGTCAGGCAGATGCCATTTAGTTGCCAAAGGAGAAAGATGCTGGATACTTACTGGTAGGCCACAGCCTTGTCATGAATGTAATTAATAGAAATGGATTAATTTGAGATGTAAGAACTAGCTAGAAATATTCCTGACCATCAGCCAAACAATGTTATAATTAAATAGTTTCTGTGTGATTATTTGGGTCTGGGAGTCTGAAAAATTAAAGCACCCCCTCTGCTTACATATATGGCTGACCATATCTACTTAGGAAACTGGAGACCTAACATTTGTCCAAAAACTCTCTGTACATTAACAATTGTTCAGACTCCTTTAGCTGCTTTTTCCCATGGTGATGATACAACAAATATACATA